GGGTGTTCGGCATCTTGTGCTTACTTCCTTGCGTACGGATGACAGCTGGGTATGACTGAATATATTTTCTGGTGCTTTCACTTCCAGAGACATTGGTAAGCACTGTGAAACTGCCTCGAGGGTGCTTGACCATTTTAACACAACGTGGTGCGATCATCCCCCTTGCGCGGAGTGAGGCTTCTCGACCCCGCACAACATGACCTACTCGACCACCATTATGGTTACCGCCAAAAAAAAAGAGGTGAACTAAAACAAACGGCAAGTGACGTGGTTGCCGAGTTCACGAAGTGAGTTGGCTTGTTTTACAACGTCGTTGCCAAGCGACGAAAGCCCAATCCCGATGGCAAACACCGAGGGAGGGGCTTGTTTTACAACGTCGTTGCCGTGCGACGAACACCCAACCCCGATGGCACACACCGGGGGGGGGGCGGTTTGTTTTACAACGTCGTTCCCAATTGGTTTTCATGTCATATTTGCCCATAGGTTCTCGCTGTGGTGAGCTCTCTAGCGCGCAAAACTCTCACGTAGCAAACAGCAGCAGAGCCGTGATACGCAACCGCGGCCGTGGACAGGTACCCCTGACTTGAAAAACACCACACCGCCGCGAATGACCAACCCCGCCGCATTCTCTTGAGGAACAAAAGACAAAGCGATGCACAGCAAATACCGCACGGACAGATATCCACTCTCCCGACAGGGATTATGTAAGTAGGATCTACGCTTGATGCAAACATGATATCGATACAAAGCATGATATATAAACACACGAATGTGTTTAGCAGAAGAACCAAAGCTGTCGTATGCAACTATGGAGTATTGTACTCGGCGCGAGACAGTATCGTTGCTATGGGGTACGCTTTCCACAAGAATTCATGTTGCGACATTTCGTGCGCGCTTAATTCACGCCAGCTGTACAAATTTCTGCTCCTTGCCGCCATCCAAGGCGAGGGGGGATCCGGCTTGGACGAGCACTTTATGCGATCCATTGATCCCCACGAAGGCGTCGTTACTGTTTGCTGCCCCATTCACCTTCACGCTCGACTCGCCAACTCAACGACAACCGATAGGTATCCAACACGGCTTTTCACACTTGACCGACAGCACTATCCATCTTGTTCGGGAACGCCTCTCTCACCGCAAAAGGTTAAGGTTCAGCGACATCCGCATGACGGGTGCCGTATTTTCGGGGGTTGTTGGCATTCACAAGTGTTCGGAGCGCCAGGGACGGGGGGGACAATGGCATGGCGGCACCTGTGCAAGAACCTTCTTGACGAAATCAGTTCCCTTCCCGACACTCAGGGGAGGTGTGTGTTCACATCTATCGATGTTTGGTAGTGGACGTCATGTCCTGCACATTACCAACCGTCCTTGTTTACTGGGGCCCCGCCATTCCTGGCGCGGCTACGCCGTCGCCCAGTTCGGTTCGGCTCCACCGCGTGACGACGCAAACATGGCCGTTTCTCGACTTTCGCTCTTGGAAGGCCGGCCAAAGATGTGGCAGCGGCATGAGGGAACTTGCAAAGACGAGAGCAACGGCTGGAAGAGCGCTCCGCACGCGAGTCGGAGGTGACAAGAGGTCATCGCCAAAAGCATCGAGGCCTGATCACGCCAGCACATTCCCCACTTCTCGTGGGTTGCACGACGAACCACGCGGGAGGCCTATCGACAAAAGCAGCCTCCTTATGGAAGGATTACGCCACGTCCAAATGCATTTGGGTGTGAGATATTCCTTGCATAAGGAAGAGGCGTTGTCGATAGGCAAGCCCTGTGGCCCCTTGCAAGAGATCCAGGAGAGCTGGGGAACGTGCTGACACGGCCAAGGCTCGATACTTCGGGTGATAACGAGCTCTGCCAGTTCGTTGACATGTCACTTTTGCCAGTTCCCTCATGACGTTGCCACATCTTTGGCCGGCTTGCGAATAACGAAAGTCGAGATACGGCCATGTTTGCGTCGTCACCTGGTGGAGCCGGAGCGCATGGGGCGACGGTGTAGCTGCTCCAGC